TATGAAAAGATTTACTCTTGGCATTTTTGTAAATACAAAGGTTTTGTATACACATTCAAGAACTATACTTTCAATAAATGAATACTTTACCCAGTTCAGCTGCAAAATATGTTAAAAAATAATAAGTCAGAATAAAGTTTTTGTCAGTAAAATTATGCATAATGATTCTTGTAAAATATTGCTTGAGGAGCAGAGATTTGCCAATTGAAACATTATGAACTTCCAATCTCATTTAAGGATAAGTGTACAAAAATGAATAACAATTTCCCACAATGTCAGAAAACCCTTCATTCCTTGAATTCAGTAATATAAATACATACAGACTTTAAATATTCTTGTACAATTATTTTTTTCTGTGTGGAGTATATACAGGGGAGATTATTTGGCAAATAAGGCTGGCATGAATTTTTTTTTTTTTTTTTTTTTTTTTTTGCCAGCATTGAAGCACAAAATGTTATTCTTTCTTCTCCATCCAATGAAGAATGAAATTGTAGGGACAATTTCACATTCTGGTCAACAATAAAGTAATATCTGACAAGTTTTAAATTATAGAGGAAAGAGGGGGGGAGAGTGAAAAGCCCCTCAAAAAATTATATTAACACTTAAATGACTATTGCTTTCTCTGGATGAGCATTCTCAGAGGTGAATGTAATTTTAGAGAAATTAACAAGTGGCTTGAAAACTCTTTCAAAAAGTCATTGACAATTCTACAAATTTAAGGTGGCCAGTAGAATTCAATCCTTTCAAATTTCAATCCCAAATGGATCATTCTTGAAACCTCATAAGAGGACCCAAATCATGTTTTATATTACTGATTGCTTCAAGTACACGCATTTTGGATGCTTACTTGTACAATTCTTAATTTCAAATAAATTTTTAAAGAATTTACCCAAAGTCAATAATTATTCTAATTTAAATATAGTTCTTTGACAATTATTCCAGCTTAAACACAAATGGCTTTACTTATCAGAGAAAAGTAAGGCTACCCCATTGATTATATTTGAGAATTATATGTAATTTTGTAATTCTATTTATTTTTAAAATTCTGACATATCTATAAATATTGCTATAACTTTAATGACTGTGTAATACTAACTGTATAATAAATAAAATAACTATTTGCTTTACAGATGATTATATAACCACAGATAATTATTCACTTAATGAATGTTTTTTTATTATTATATTTGGTTAATAATTACTGCTTACTTATGACAATGACGGTTTATTTTAATGATAGCAAAAAGTTTCATTCTAAAACACTCAGAGAAAGCTCAGTGACAAATGCAAATGTATGAAAATAAATAGATCAAAGCCTTGTTATTACAGGGTTAAAGCTTCTTAGTCACAAGTCAACTCAAATAGAAAAAGAAAATTTCAAAGTGTGGAGACCCTCTTTAACTTCTGTTCTTATGCCACAATAAGCCACTGCTGAAAGAAAAGTTATTCATTTCCAAAAGAAAAGCTAATGCATTAGAAGTAATCTAAGAAATTATTTTTCTTACTAAATGCTTACTTATATATACACACTCAAAACAAACCAAGTAGATAAGCTTAAAATAATGCAAAAGTTAGTGGGGGGAAAAAATTACTAGTAGGTAATCAATTCTTAAAGAAAGAAACATTTTGAATTTTTTTATATTATGCAGTTCATTATTATCATTTTCAGATATATTAGCTGAGGGCAATATGAATCACTTCTAGTCATATTGTCCTGAAGATAAGTGAATACATTCAAATATTGAATATTGAATAAGTGAATACATTCAAATATTGAATATTCAAGTAACCCCCCCCCCAAAAAAAAACAAATAAAAATCTAAATCCACTATATGTTTTTTTTTTGTTTCTTAAAATATTGATAACCTAATGTTTTATTGTGAAAATTTTCATTGTATTTTTTCTTCATATTCAAAAATTTTAGTAATCACATCAAATACATTATTTACATTATTGTCTTCATCTTTGTTGTTATTATCACAATGGTTTGACTGTTGTGCCCTCCAGCCTTTATCAGGTGCTTGTCAATCCAGGTAAACCTCATGGAATTTCAAATTAAGCCCTTTGTTTAATTGAAGAGGATATTGTTCTTGTATATCTTGTCTAATTCTCCTCAGTTAATGCTTGCCCTGTTTCCACTGTATCCAGGTATGCACTGCCTAACCTAGAGATTCAAATCATGATAATTACATCTCCAAATTCACAAACCAATGATCTAATCCACTAGAGTAATCCATTTGTTTCATGGGACAATGTTTGGGTTGGGTAGTGCATATCTGGACTCAGTGGAAATGGGACAAGAAATAACTGAGCAGTAATAAACAGCTAGATGAGCTATCCCTAGACATGGTCAACAAAATGAAAACTATTTAACCCTGTAGATTAGATAAAGGGTTCATTTCAAATTTCCTGTTATGTGAATAAACAAGTGCCTGATGAAGGCTGGAGGGCAAAAATTGTTGCAATAATAACAATGAAGATAAAAACAAGTGTCTGCATGTAAATAATAATTTCTCCTTCGTGCCAAAAAAAAATTTAATTAAAACATGTTTCATCTCAATGAATATATTTTTAATACTGTCTCTGTTGTCATATTTAGTGTATGAACTTATGTATACAAATACAACAATTATTATAGGACCAAGGCAGTAATATTTACCTTATTCAATAGTATTAACTGATAGACATTCTTATTAATTTTTCAGTCATTGGAATAACCTCCATTTTAAATTACTAAAGTTATATTCTATAAATACCACCATGTTACTGTATTAATATTAAATTATTCATTGGAGGCTTTCATTAAAAGAAAATATGAATTCACAAGATTTACAACTCAGTGTATGCACTATTTGGGGGGGGAAGGGAGGGGGGTAAAAGCACTGCTGAAAAAAAAAAGAAGAAAAAACAATTTGGTTGGGGGAGGGGAATGATGTTGCAGCAATAAGTAAATAGAGGAATTAGCATCTAGGCTTGAATTGCAGCACAAGTAGAGAAAAGTCAGTTGCAGTAGTAGTAGTAGTAGTAGTCATAGTAGTATTGGAAGAAGGCGATAACTGAAAACCCTCAAGGCTCCATCTTTAAGTTCTGGAAATGTAGTTATTTGTGCTTAGTCCTCTGAATTGTGACTTGATAGTAATTTAAATTTAAAATTACTGATATAGAGACAGTCAGAAAGAGAACTCTTCTGTGTGGGGAAAATCAAGAAAAAATGTTTTCTCCTTTTTAATCTTGTAGGGATCACAGAAAATCCCTTTCAGGATAGTAGAATCAAATTTGAATGAAGTTTGTCAAATTGGAAGATGGAAGGAGTGGAGAAATAAAAAGAAAGAAAATGACTGTTCAGGTGAAAATGTCAAAAGGCTATGTGTGGAGTTGATAAAAACACTGATTCCATGACAGGAGGCTTGCATCAAGAGGGTTGATTATATGCTTTATTAACACGAGTTGATCAGCTTCTTCCTCCGAAACTCTTTCTGCTCACTACAGGCAGTTCCCAACATCCTTACTTTAGCCAGAATATTTTGGTTGTTTAAGTTGTTCGAGTTCCTTCTTTTGTGCAAAGATGTAGGCGGTTTCTTTTTAGTCACTCTCTGCCTGCCAACATTGTTGGTGCCAAGGGGTACTACAGATATTAAAAGAGAGCAACAATAGAAATATTTGAAATAACAAGCCATCGAGGACGAAATGTGAGGTGATATAAGTGTGGTCTGTAAGAAAGAGATGAATAGATGGACATGGAAGTATCAAGAGTTACACATTAGCACGTGGCACAGCAAAGAACCTATGCAGACAAAACAGTGGAGAAACAAAAAAAAAAACAAAAAAAAAATAGAGAGAGAACAGAGACTGATAGCTACTGCCACTACTACTACTGCTACTTCAACTGCTGCTCAAGAATGCTTGAAGATGAAGGCAACAATAAATGATCAGAAGGGAAAAAATAGTTAACATTCAACATAATACTTAGCTAGAAAGAAAAAAATACTGTAACAAATTAAGTCTACTTATAAATTATAATCCATACTGACTAAAGTAGAATTTAATATTGATTAATTTGTATAAAAACTATGCATTGCAGATTTTACAAGTAAACACAAATATATACATTAAGCATAATTATAGCAATAACAAAGATTGTTTTACAAAAACAAAGTCAACTGGCATATTTCTGAAAGATAATGCTTTTAAGGCAAGCAATCTTTGTCAGTTAAGTACTTGATATTATGGAATAGAGCATTAATAGTAAACAAATAACATGTTCAAAAATTATCTTCCCTCAATTCAAAGTTCTGTTTATCAAGGAGAAATTCCATTTATCTAACTCCATAATGAAAGTGCTGATTCAGGAAGATGAGTTCATAACTTTTTATTTGTTCACTTTTAAGCATAATAATATTCAGATTTGAAGGACTTACCGAAAATCCATTTGATTGTCTCTAGGATCAAATCTGAGTGAACAATTATCATTAGGAAGATTGCTATTTCATATTTTCTTAGGAACTTTTTTTTTTCTTTCCCCACAACTTGGGGATTTGTTCATGCCAAAATTCATTAGAAGTCAATCTTAATGAAAATCACTTTTTATTTGCATTTGGTATTACTTATCACATCCTTTTGCAGAGAAAAGTTAACTTTATTACCCCCTCCCCCAAAAAAAAACAAAACTAGCAACTTATAATATGCAAAATCAGTTTAAATCCTAAGTCACCTTATGTTTTTTGTATTTAAAAAGAAAAAAGCAAATAGTAACATCAGTAAACAAGACTATCCTTTTGTTAATTTTTACAAACTAAGTTTTTATAAAGACAAAATAGAATGTATTTTTTAACACCCCATTCATTTATATTATAGGCAGTCTTAAAATAAGTTCATTACCTTGAAACTAAGGAAATACTTTTAAAGCTATTTGAATGCAAAATTCATCCAAAAATGAATAATGAAGCATGGTGATGAAATGCCCGTAGAAATAATTAATTTCTTTAAAAGTCATGCTCATCAATCTTTCCAGATTTTGAACAAACAAATCTATTGAGTGCATGAAAAACTTACTACTCAAAATGTTCAGATAGCAGCTCAAATAAAAAAAGAATACAATAATAAAGATAACAACAAAAATACAAAAACAAAACAAAACAAAAAAACCTTTCTCCAAAATGAATGACAGCACTGGTCAAAATTGTAAAGATTTACTAAGGTAATGTCATTAAATTAAAGCAAAAGCCAAATAAAGTATTCAAAAGTTAACATTGATGCAAACTTTAAAATAAGGCTTGTGCAAACTAGACATTAATATTAGCTCTAGAAAGTAAAAGCTCACAAAACAAATTAGCCAAGCAACCAACCACTGATTAATTAAAAACAATTCAATATTTGAGTTATAAATTTTTAATATTTTTATAATTTTATTTGAAAAATCTGTTTTTTAATATATTTTTGAAGCATTTTTAATGAGTGTGCAAATATTTTAGCAGACTGATTAAGTGGCTTTAAAGTAGGGGTTTGATTTATAATATAAATATACTGCTAAACATTTAACAAATAATGATTTGCTAGGAATTATTTTTGTCACCTTTTGAATGCACTGACAATAGGTAATTTTCTCATCCCTACTTTTATGTAGCTTTGGTGAAGCACATACTATTCAGCAAATGAAAGGATCATGGCGTTTATAATGACTATGATCCTGACTGCAGTCGACCTTGATTGCTTCATCTAGGGATGCATTGCAGATTTTACAAGTAAACACAAATATATACATTCAGCGTAATTATAGCAATAACAAAGATTGTTTTACAAAAAACAAAGTAAACTGGCATATTTCTGAAAGATAATGCTTTTAAGGCAAGCAATCTTGCTAATTAGTTGTAATCAAAAATTCAGTTTAATATTAAGAAGTTAAGCTCTTTAAAGATGTAAGAAATAAAGTTTACACTAACCAAAATTGAGGATTTCTAATTAGTGATATGTCCAAGTTAAACATGGAGATGATATTCCAAACACAATCTATTCTCAACTTTTTTTTTTAAAACTGAAAAATGTCTTGAGAATTTCATCATAATAATTTTCATATTTATTATAAATAAAGTCTACAATGGCTATAAAAAAATTACAAAATACATGAGTATTTTTGTAATTTTTTAATTCATGAAAGAGTAGCTTTAGTAAGTATTTTCCTTTAAGCCCAGTGATATTTCAGAAGTATCCAAATTTTTTAACAGAAGGCTAAAAAATATGAACATTTTGAATATGGCATTTAATTTTTTTATTTTTCTAAATTGCTATCAGAAATTTGTAAAACCATTACAAAAATTGAGCAATTTGCAAATTACTCAGTATATTTGTTTTGGAATAAGAACAGCAAGAAAATCAGCTGGTTGCATTTGTCATTTGAATTTCTTTACTAGCACAGAAACTGTCTATCATGCATCTAAGAAGCTTGAGCATTTATGGAAGTTTGAATATAGCATTTGTTCATGGTTGGAAATCTCACCATAAATGAAGGTAAAGATTCGATTAAGCTAAAAGGACTTCTTTTTTTCAAAAAGTATTTTTGATGTAATTTGTCATGATCTTTATGAAAATTGCCTCCCTCTTTTGCATCTCTGTTAATTTGTGATAGAATGAAAGTTTTAAAATCAAGGTGAATGAAGTGGCTCTAAAGTGAGAGTTCAATTTACAATGTAAACATACTGCCAAACTGGAACCTGATCTTATGTCCGTCTTTCTACAAACATGTAGGTAATTTTAAAGTATAAAAGCCTAAACAAAAATCTTTTTGTTAAGTTAATACTTAATAGTTGAAGAGGAGGTAATTTTTGTAACACCATGAATTGAGTTCATTGTGACAACAAAAAAGAAAAAAAAAAAAAAAATGATAATTTTTGGTCTTTTCAGACTACTTTAAGTTTATGGACTAGTGAAAAAGAACTGCTGTTTTCATAACGGACACAAAGTAAGGGTTTAGCATTAAACTTACATTGTAAATCAATTCTACCTAAAACTGTCGAAAGTTAATCTTCCAAAGAAATGAAGGTCATATTCATTCAAAGCACAAAATGCTTAAGAATATATTTTGCCACAAAAATACACACTTTAGTTTAACAGAATCTTTACCTAAATAAATAAAATTTTAAAAAATATCAAGATATAATAGATAATGGTGTCTACTTTTAACAATGGTAAATTTATCTTTTGCTTGGCATTCAACATAAAGCAACAAATGTAGAAAACTGATTCATAGAGAGGGAGTCACATTTTTGTTTTAGTTAAATCTATCAATCAATTGATAAAAAATGCAATAAGGATAAAACTGAAAGTGGGCAGGGAGACATCATTGTTAAATGAAAATTAAGGTTACTAATTTAAACATAATATTTTAATACAGATTTAAAAATGGGTTCTACAATACACATACATTGTATTTCATAGCATATAAGGACATCCCCATTATATTTAATATTATGGAATTAGGCTAGGTTTGCTTAGATTTGAGTCAACTATCTGATACCTTAACTTCATTTTAATGATAGGAAGATATTTTTGAGACTTTTTTGTGAAAAAAGTGGAGTGTATTTTGTCATCAAATACAGTAAATATATATATATATATATATATATATATATATATATATATATATATATATATATATCTCCATGAACAGGCTTATTTTAAATATAATAAAGAATGACTATAAATTACTCTCAAAGAGTAATACTGCTAAGAAATGTTTTATGGGTAAAGTGTTGATTCTGAAAATTAAATAAATCCTATGAAATAATGTAATGCAATAATCACAAATTTTTCAGTATGGACCAAATTTTATTTGATGTTAATTTTATAGAACCCAGTTCAATTATGAATATGTACAACTTTCAAATTTTATATTAATTTTTAAGAACTAATCAAAACATTATTCTCTTAAAAGATCTTCTATAAGCAGAATGACATTGCAGCTATAAACTAACAATCTCTGACAAGGTAAGGTTGGAAATAGATTATTCAATCAATCGAGCTAAGCACAAAGATCTACTTTGTACATGTGAAGGGCAAAGAGAATAGAAATTACTATTTAAATGACTTCAGAGAAAAATATTTATGTTTTGATGTGATTAACTTAATAGTTACACATTTCCAGAGCTTTGTGACTTTTTGTTCCCTTACTTAATAAGAAAAGTCATTAATGAGTGTTAATCACCACTGAAAAAATGAGAAAATATGTAAGTTATCTCCCCTGTAAAAAGTAGTTCATTATTACTCCACAAAGAAACAATTTCGTATTTGCTCATTCCAGCATTATATATTATATATTGGAGGGAAGGGGAGGCAATGGGTGAAGGTTTTCTTTTTATTTTTTTTCCTTCTGTCACAACCAAGAATCAATTTTGAATAGTTTCAGGGAACAGGAAGCTTTTTCTGCTTTACATTTTCTGCTGCTGAGTGTGAGATGGGAGAGATGTTAGCTTTAGAATAAGCAGGGTGACAGATACTGGCCATTGTGGGGCCTTTCAGTGTCACCACAGACGTCACTTGGGGGCTAGTACCAGCAGGTTCAGAGTGCATTCTATCATCATCATGCTCCAGTTCATCATCAAAGTAACTCATATTGGAAAAAGCAGAACTGGAGATGTCTCTTAGACCTCTACGGAATTTAGATTTACTGCTTTTGGAATGTTTAGTAGAGGTTGCCACTTGAGTTGAAGTCCTCGCTGCCGATGACTCTGCCATCTGTCGGAAGGCCTCATCCTCACTAGAAGGGCTCTCAGCACATGTGTGGTTTGGTCCCTCAGCAGAAGTTTCAGCATCACACAATGCCAAGAGGAACGAGTCTTCTGACTGCTGATCGTCTAGGGGAGGACTTAGTTTTATGATGTCTTCACTGCTGCTACTGAGATGTGGCTGTAATGTGCTAGGATATACAGAAGACATGTCAGGAAATGGCACAGCACCAAAGACATCTTGGCTGCCAGCTGAAGATGGCACTGAACTTGCCTGACTTGGAGAGCTGCAGAACTCCATCTCCGGAGTGACAGTCTGTGAAGGTTCAAACATTGGAACTGGTTGTGGAGGTTCCAGATCGGGTGTAACAGCACATGAAGAGGGGGCAGTGGGAATGGAGCTAGGGGTTTTCTTGCCACTAAATGGTGCCTTTGAAAACACATCATCGTTGACTGTCGGTGGAGTGTGCGGAGTGGACAGTGAATGAGTTGAGCTGCTTGTTCGTTTCCTCTTGCTGACACCTCGCAGTTTGTTGCTTAGTTTGCTCCTGAATGGAGCTTTTGCAAACACATCTTCTAGTAGGTATGAGGAAGAGGATAAAGCTGTTGAAGTTGAGCTTGTTATAATTGCACTGATAGGTCGCCGTTTGGTGTTTGATTTAATGGGGAATGGGGCTGCCGCAAAAACATCTTCGTCAAACGGAGAGTTCATGAGGCCAGCCTCACAGCCAATATTCTCCTGGCTCATAGTCTGTCTCTTTGTCTGAAGATTACTGCTCTGAGAAGCACCAACATTTGCATATGTATCTTCAAGCTCATCATCATCAAGCAAGGGTTTCACACCATACTCGTGTCCAACAATTCTGTCTCCCTGGCCTTCAGGTACTTGGTAATGGGAAATTGAATGGTCACTTGGGAAGTTTCTAATGTTCTTGCTTGCATCATATTCTTCAATTGACTCAAATCCTTCTTTGTGTTTTGTCGGTTTCACAGCACTTGGACGACTGCCATATTCATCATCAAGTTCTTGGTAGCTGAAGTCAGCAGCACCTTGGTTAATGATGCCACCTTGGTAATCTTCAGAACTTGAATCAACAAGTTCTTTAGGTTGAACAACAGCTGGCTTGCTTCCTAGCTTCTTACCTTTGCTTTCAGGCCGTTTCTTTTCCTCCTTCTCATCTGTGTCCACGAGTTGCTTGTATTTCTTCGAAGCCAACCCTAATGCCACTTTTATCAAAGTGTTGCCTCCAAAAATGTCGTGGGACTTGCCACCTGTCTCTGAGTTGAAATCAATCAGATCCTTGGTGTGTTCAAGTGCTACGTCTGCTGAACCGGTGCTATGGCGCCGAGGGCTTTTCGGAACAACATCATCTGCAAGATCAAATAAAATATGTTTATAAAGTTGTATTCATAGTTTTACTTAAATGAATGAGGACAAATGTATCAGTTTTTTAAAAATATGAAAAGTACCAATATTATCTGATAATATACATTATGTAACAATATTGCATGCATAATAACATACAAATTTAGATATGTAATATGATGCTAGTCTAGAAGCTTTTTATAATTTTGAGAAGACATTAATCATTCCAAAAGTTGTTTAAAAGCCTATTGATCTCATTCTTTAAGTTGCTTTCATTGTTACCAGAATCTTTCAAGGAATCCATTATCCATCTGTCCTTTAGGGATATAGTCCATAAGAAAAGAGAAGGAGCACTTTCTCCTCCTCCTCCTCCACTGAAAATGGTAATGAACATAAAAGAAAAGCTGAGAATTAATGGAGATGCTTTGTATATTAATCCTCCTGAGAGGTGGTGCTAGTGAACCCCCCCCCAAAAAAAAAAACAACACCTGTATATACAAATATCTTTCTGTACAGAATGGACAGCTTGAGAATAGATCAGTTAAAATCAACAGCAAAAGCAATATAAAGAATGTAAAATTCAATAGTAAAGTAAATGTAAAGTCCAAAGAACCATAATAATTTGTTTCCAAGTACATCTGTCAGGGTGGCAAGCCAATCCCTGTTATAGATACTTGTTCAGGCACATTTGTGTTTCTTCAACACCCACAGAGTTCATATGTGGTTTATGCTGTAACTATACTTAGTGAACCTTAGTTACAGTTTCTGAGAGTGAGTGCATAATTTGGCATGATCAACATTTTGAACAATGCTAATACTCTCAAACTCTTGGTCATGATGATTTGTGACTTCATGCTAGCACAACCATTGACAGCTTCTGAAATAGTTACATCTACCCAATTACACTCATAAGGCTTGGGCCAACTTGTGGTATGGTTTTCAGACACTTTCCAATGGTGATGCATGCTGAGATTGCCTCCTCAGAGCAATAACAAAAAAGTCACCTCCATGGCAAATAAAAATATGGTGATATTCAAACCGTGGTTTCATGGATAATGTAAACATTCTAACCACTTGGTCACATGCTATATAAACAACCATGGAATGATAGTATATATTCTATTATGACAATACCATTATACTCTCTAACATCTTTTATAAATTAGTATTAAATATTTAAGGACATTAATTTCAATAATATATATATATATATATATATATATATATAAAACCAACAAGTATTCACTGTAATACTATAGAACTTATAAACTATTATATACTGTACTAACATATGAGAAAAGTGCTGAAAAGTTTTTGTTTTGACTAAGAAGACCTTTAAGAAGAACAAAAATAAAAGAGGTATTCAGTCAGATTTTGAGAAGAGGCTTGGGTTGAGAACTTTTCAGCACCCCCTTTATATATTTACAATTATTTTTAGCATAAGGCAAAATATTACTATATATTGTATATTTCATTGTAAATTATACAATGATTTTTCTAATGAACATTCACATCTTTGTTATTCTCAATAATCTTTTAAAGCCAAGAGGCTTTTGATTTGTGACACTGAAAATTAAATGCCAAAATAAAAGTTTATGCACTATAGATTGCAAAATGAATTTAAGAAACTTAAAACGAATTATACTAATAAATTAGACCTATGAGAAATTGACTTGTGTTTAGCAAGTTCAAGGTAGGGATGAATGGTAGCAAGCAGTAGTCTCTAAAATGCTCACATATATCAGGTATTTTTTAGAGGCTGGTACATATTAATTCCATTGTTTTCATTTCTGAATGTCATTATGCCTTTTGGTAAGAAGCAATTTGATCTCATGAATATACCATCTGCAATCATGTGACAAATATCTAAATTCAGATGAGAGAGAGCCATGTAAAAAATGTACAAAACAATAGCAATAGATCTATTCTTCCCTGAGGTGTTAGAATCAACATTCAAGCATATTATAACAGCTTCTTATGAAAAGAGTCAACATGTATTCATTGCTTAATAACCTAGATAAAAATAACAAACTGGTTGCCAGCCTATTAATACAATAAAAAATGAAAAAAAAACAGAGTTGACTGAAATAATAAAACAGAAATTTGTTGAATAAATTTAATGAAACTTGTTTAAATGTATTGTAATTATAAACTTGGTGATGGAGTACAGAAAACTCTTGATGTACAATATATTATTATGAAACAATGTAAATATATGAATACAGGTACATATATTTTGTGTTGAGAAAGAGAAATCCTTCCTGCTCAAATTTGTCTTTTTTTGACTATCTCTTCCGATGTAAAAGTTTAATGATAATAAAAGGCTACAAATACGAGTCATAAATTATTTTTTTATGCTGAACTTAATTATTTTTCTGGGAAAAAGTATTTCTAGCATTTAGAAATTGATGCAAAGCCATCAGTTTTTCTGCATTTTTATTTTTGTGGAGAGCACTGTGAAATTTGCACATTTCTGCTAGTGACGATAGAATAATCACATGACAAAGACATGTACCCCACTAGATAGAGAGGTATATAGAGTTTATTTAAGTTTGATCTTTCACAGAGGGAAGGACAGACAGAGGTGGCAAAGTCAGAAATACTTGGGTAGCAAGAATTCATTTAAACAAAAAATACAAAACAGATAGGAATATCTGTATGTATTAATGGCATCTGCCAGATGAATGCCAATGAAGATCATGTAGCAAATACAAAAAATAATTTGACAATAGGGTTAATATAAATGAGAATTTCTTTAGACAAGACTGCCCTTTACACATATGAAGGGATATGTGGTCCTCCATACATTCATTTATGAGAAATGCTAATCCACTTGTACTAAGGAAGTTTTTGCATTATTGATTGGCTTAAAGGAAAACTAACAACATTTTATGATAGGTTAGCACGTTTGAATATTTAAGTTCTTGACTGCTTGCTGAAGCACATTAGCATAAGGTAACAATTTAAAATATTCACTGCAAATATTAGCTTATAATTCAGGTGTGTACAGAGATATTACTTGGTATTAAGACATTTTTCAATGTCCTCTTATTTTAGATGCAAGTTAAATTGTTTTTATACATAGCTGCTTAAAAATGCCTGTCACAAACGTAGAAATGCTTAAGTATATTTAAAAAGGGGGGTACAAAGTTCAGTTTTTGAGAACAACAAAGATGAGAAACAAGAGATAAGTGATATTTTTCAATTACAACTTTGAACATGTAACATAAAAACTTATATAAACGTTAAATCAAGTTTGAAAGCAATTAGTGTTCTGCAATTTTCAACAAGAACAAAAAAGATACTTATGAACCTTTGTAAATCTGTCTGACTTTAAAATATTAAAATAACTTTAAATGAAAGCATTTAAAATGAAAATGTTAAAGCATCTTACCTATATTAAAAATGAGGTGCATGAAGCATAATATTGAATGTGTTGAAAAGAAAAATGATTGAGATAATATAGTAAATAAACAAAAAGAAATATTTTAAATATAATTCTGGGTGCTCTGGTTTTGTATTCCTTACCTGACTATGGCAGTGTAGCATCCAAAAATTGTATAACTACTAATATTAAAGGGATTAAAAAGGAGAATAAAATATTAAAAGAAAAAAAGATGTGTGTAAAGTACCAAAGATTTTTAGAGTAAACAAATCTATTCTATGTTTATCAAATAACATGTGTTCACTCTTTTTTTCTATTAAAAAACATTACTGTAAGTATCACAACAGCTTAATGGAAGTAGTAGTTTCACCATTAGATTTTCAAACTAGAAGTCTCCTTCTCAAATGTTAGACTTCTAGTGCTTTGTTCTAATTACAAGTGTGTTGTAATGTCATTTCATAATTTTAGTGTTTTTTTTATATTGAAATGTTTAAAGTTTAATTCTGATATTTTATTGGTGTTATGCTTTCCACACGATTTCAGTAATACATATTTTTAATTATCAATTAAAATGTCCCACTGTTTTAATTATTGTTAAGAGATGTGCCAAATTGATTAAAAATGCTGAATTGATATCCACCCCACTGATATTTAACATTATTTATTATTAATATTTCTTTTATCTTATTTGCATTGTTTCCCTTATTGAAACAGATTATTTTACGTTCTATAAACATTAAGCAAGAAGCATGAATCCAGTGGTGGGTAGAAAAAAAGAAGCAGCCTCTAATCTTGAACTTGCATCCTTATATTCTTGATATTCTTGTCTAACATTGATAATGCCTCATGAATTTTACCAGAGACAAGAAAAAAAAAAGTCAAATTTAGTCATAAAGCTACACTTTTCTTTTTCAGATTTTATCTAAAACATGTTTGTTTACACTTAGTAGTACTTAATATTAGGGTATTCAAATTTATCAGATGAATTTCTTAAAAAGTGACACAACATGAAAGATGACTAAAAAATGAACAATAAAAACGTATCACCGAAGAAATTCAGACAATTCATTCAGCAACCTATACTGTTGACAATAGAATGAACAAACACAAAATTGAACTCAAATCTGTATGGTGATCTTCAGACCAGGTGCCACTACTCATTTAGTGGATTTTATATATATATATATATATATATATATAGGTCACTGGGGCAAGGAAAAAATTGCCCTTTTCCAGTGGCTTTGTTTAGGGTTATTTATGGTCATGATCTCTAGACTATTTACTTTATTTATATTTTGCTTATTTTTCTTTGGTTTTAAATTTTGATTAAGGTCTATTAGATTGTGCAATACAAGTTTTTATTCTTCATCATGAACTTTTGAGATAATGAGGAATAATGCAGAGAATGTTTAGAATTTAATCATTCTATATATATATATATATATATATATATATATATATTAATTTGTCTATAATTTTACTTATAAAATTAATTTTAAAATGTAAAAAAATTCAAATTTGTGTAACTCCTAGTATAGATAACATGGTCAATTACAGTTTTCAAATTTCTGTTCTTTAATAGTATATTAATTATTTTGTAACATGTTTTACTTGATGATTATTCATTATTGTCCTTTCTTTTTAGTGTTCAACCCTAATGATCATGACTAATGAAAAATACAAGCATACTCCTGTGGTGTTCTTCATAAAACTAAGAACAGGCATTTTCATGGAATTTACAATGACCTTTTAAAAACGTTTCTTGGGCATTCCAAATAATATATTTTAGATATTTGTTAAATGTGATGCAGAGTCATGAAATTGAGAACTGAATATCAAGTTGTTCTCCTTCACATTTCTTTGCAACAGGCACTTAAATAAAATATATTGTGCATGAAATTACAACAGATTTTGTTATTTCTCTATACAAATGTCATTAAACAATTTAACCTTCTATTAGTCACAGTAAAAATACCAGTGAACAAAACAAATTCTGTAGAGTACAAGACTAACTGCTTAGAGAAATTCTTTGCTTTGACCTGAACTCGAGTTCAAATGATTGAATAGAATTAGAAACCTCTCAGATGATGCTTGAATAATCTGCAAGATATACATCTATTAACTTGCATTGGATTGAAATAATTACAAAATTAGCTTACAGCATTCCTTTAATTGCCACTGAAATTGTTGTTTTAATTTCATCTAATAATTCATTCTTTTAGTACATATATAAATAAAGTTACTAGTGTTGTGAAAATTGATATTACATTATTTTTGTTAGAAGCAAACATGGAAGAAAAAGTTCTGAAGAAGAGCAGTTAATAAATGCAAAACTGGATCATGAAAACAAAATACTTGTACAAAGATTAAACTACATGAAAATTAATCTTTTGATTTAAAATTAGCAATGATTAAAATCAGAAGACATTAGAACAGTTGGTTCGATCCCATCACCCTTCATTGTATTATTAAAATAATATAGAAAGTTACTGAATACCAAAATTTGTAATGGAAACATTTTCTTTCAAATTATCTCCCTTACAAATGCATGATGCTCGGCGTTCCAGTATCTTAACGACATCATTATAAACAATCCTTGAAACTGCAATTATTAAGAGAAAAATTGAATTTAGGACTTTATTAAAGAGAGAAGTATGTATAAAAACAATTAACACAACAGAATTCAAATTGAAACTATTTTAAATCTATACAATTTGAAAAGGGGGGAAAAACAACAAAAAGAAAAGAGACAAAAAAAATTGTAAAATATCTTAAGCATCATCTTGTATAATTTAATTATATGCTAAGAAGCTCAGCTCAACACATGTATTTATTATTTTTGCCATTGTGAAATGCACAATGAAATTGGACAGCAGTCTCCAGGTGTACACACAAATGTGCACGTGCACACACACAGTGTCTGAAATAAAAAATACTTTCCAAGTATGGAAAACTATTTTTTGTCACGATTTTAAGGTAGGTAAATATATGCTTCCATAATAAAATGAAGCAGACTTTCTCTTGACATCATGTAGAATTTTTAATATTAATTTTAAGCTATTTACAGCATGTAGAAGAAAGATTTTCTCTATTTTGTTGCTTTTCTCACAATATTTTATCTAGTTGTTGGTTATTAAACTGTGGGAACTTGAAATAAAAAAAAAATGGTTTGTATAATCCTAATTCATATCCCATACAACATTAATGACTTCATTTTTTCCTGGTAGTATCTTTTGCCAGTAAAATACTATTCCTGCAAATTAAAGAATTAAGCTAAGTGTAAATGCTAGCCATTGTTTTTGTTTTAAATTTTCAATATTTCTTTCTTTTATTTGTAGAGATTGGTGGGAAATATTTACAGTAAAGATGAAGAGCTGCTGCTTTTGGCTGGTTATTTTTTATTCAGTTAGAGTGGTTGCTTATGAAGAGCTAGCATGACAAAGAAAAAAAATGAAGAAAAGCAAAGCATTTTAAGCAATAAACATCCAATTGAAGGAATAGATGGAGAAGAAAGTATGACAAATATAAGAAAAAAACATTTTCATTTACATCTAGATTTTGTAAATGCTTGCTTATTTAATTCTGATTAGGCTTAATATTTTGGTTTAACCATGTATCTTACTGTTTCATACTAAATTATACGGTAAGATATTTCTTATTACTTTAGACATTATATTTAGTGGATACATATGTTTAAACAGACTTTTTTTTTTTTAATTTACAGTTTAAAAAAAAAAAAAACAGAAAAATTGTAAATTCATGTCCACCAGCCTTTGTGCAAAAACAGTGATGTCTACTTAAACACATGTAGAAACTAAATATAGCATTTAAAAAGTAATAAGAAATAATGCCAGATTATGAATAAAATCCATTAATTCCTTAGAAATTACTTTAAGATATGAAAAGTAAATTCACCAAATAATCATATTCACCAAAGTAAATCACAGAATAATGCATGTTTTAACCTACCCACAAGATACAGTGTAGTAGTACCTACCTTGACTCATAGATGGACCCATCATAGCTTATTTCATTCTCTACAGAGACTATTCCATTATATAATTCAGGATAAAACACTGGTGAATACAGAAAACCCTTCACAATTGAAAAAAAATTGTTTTTTTTTTTTTTGTACATGACAAAATTATTAAAGAAACTGGATGTAAGGATTTAAGAGGAGATTCATCATTTACTGATTCCGAAAATGTTTAGCATTCATTGTTAAGCCTAGAATGACAATAACAGAAATTCCTGTGAGCCACAGTTAATGGGTGAATCACATAGATGGAACTCCTCATTCAAAGTTTAAAATTATTTGAATATGAAAATTTAAAAAAGTATTTATCAAATACAAAGACATATTTTTTTGTGGCTTATTCAATCTATAGATATCAGTATAAATGAAAGAATATCTAGTCATACATTAAAGGTATATTTTTTTTATTGAGACATTTTAAAATTTAAATGCAGAGTTTGGGAAATACTGGTTTACACAAAATGGCTGAGATTTTAACTCACTTTGCCAAATCCAAATTTGAGTTGGTCTGAATTCTTATTGAGACTACTTGCTTTGTTATGCTAATGTTCTTACAGGAAGTGAATTTTTATTTTCTGGTTAAGAAAAGAAAAAATCCAATAACTGCATAAACAAAAGCATTCAAAATATATTTTGGCAACAATATTTTATAGAAGTCAATTTTATTGAAAAAAATCCAGTTATGGTTTATTTTAATTTTTTAAAGTCATTTTCTCTTGTTCTCATACAAGGCAATGGATGTGTTGTTCCAGTTTGTGTGCAAAGATTATTGTGCAAATTAACTCCTATTAACGTTTTTGCCCATGTATAGTATGACTGGCCTGAAAAACAAATTTTTAGAAAAATTTTTTTTTTTTTGTAAGGTTGTTCATTTTTATATGCAGTTCCTTCAAAATATATAAAAATAATTTTCTAAAAAAATTTTTGATTTTCTTTCACCTGAACATTTTTTCAAATAAAGTTGCTAATTTTTGCTTAACCTGTTTATTGGTGAAAATAATCTCATAGATTAAATATAGACTGGGTTGGGTTCTATGATGCTTATTACCCCCCCCCCTCCTAGCTGAAATAGCCATGTTTACTTTTGGAGAAGATAATCTGTAATATAATAGTAATTTTTGAATGGATTTTTTTTTTATCCAACATTATTTCATATTACTATAAACATTATACAATAGATCTACCTTAAGGAATATTTTCTTTCTCTATAGATGGATCGAGAGAGAGTGATTGCAAAAGAATATAAAGAAGAAAAAAAAAATCAGTAAAGATTTAGAAATGACATTTCTTTTGAGTGATCAAATTTCCAGCACCAGTGTTGGAGGTTAATGATGGATATACATACCAATGGACATTGTAATGTAATGAAAAATAAAAACAAAAAAAAAACAACAGAAAATGTAAAATTAAATAAACCAAGTGGCTAATATACAAGTGATTAAGTTTTTAAGACTTATGATGAAGCAATTTGATACTGAGATGATGATCAAAGACTGTAAGCTTATTAGCTGTTCTGTCTTTAACTAAAATTTGGAGATTTATTTTCTGAAAACTTATCAAAATGTTATGATAGATTGAGTATAAGCAAATTGTAATATTAAGCCGAGTCATGTCACATTTTCAACAAAATATTATTAAATTTAATTATTTAAACATAATTATTTTATTTTTACCTTGCTATTTTTCTGATTAGCATTTAGCCATTAAAGTAATTTGTAGAGTTTATACTGAACATTTTTATAAGAAATTGCCTGCAGTTACAGGAGGGGAAAAAAAACTTGAAAAAGATCAATGGCTTTGTATGAGTAACAACTGTATGCATGTATGAATAATGTACTTTGGCTGATTTCTGTTCAAATGTCTTTATCATCTTTGAGTGTATTTATAATGTATATATGAAGTTAATTCTAAATTTTTGAAATTTTGTTTTAGAAAACAAAAAATAAAATGACCATTTATCCATAACCCATTTTTTCCCAAGTTTTTAAAGCTGATAACTTGAAAATTTTTAGACTACATTTATTATTAATTCAAATACTTACCATTATTTAAAAAAAAAAGGAAAAAGATAATATATATATATATATATATATATATATATATATATATATATTTCATGACAATTATAATAAGACAGGTTACTGAACTCACTGAAATTCATATTAATTCGATATCCATCTTTGGTTTAAGGAGTGGTGAGGTATCGGTAAAACAAAATAGTTAATTTAAAAAAAAAAAAAAAATTAATCAAAATAGATAATGGGACCAATAGTCTTCCATTGCAAGCATTATTCTCTTGATGAAAACATGTAATGAGGTTAATACATTTTTCCTTTGTTGACTTAAGTAAAACAGCAGAGCTCAAACAAGTAACCTTCATATCAAGACAAAAAAAATCAAAAAACTATGATTTAAATTTAACTAGAGAAAAAAAATAAATAAAAAAATAAAATTTACCTATACAGCTTATGTCTTGATTGCTTGAGGTGGTCGATACTAAAAAAAATATTACAAGTGTTGTAGTGAAAAACAAAATTTTATTCTGCAAAATGCTATAGATAACTAATCACAAAACATTTATAATCTGTTCAGACACCTATTCCTAAAATAGAGATGCTGTTTTACAAAAGTATGCAAAGTTTTTATTGATGATAATTACAGTTTAAGAATGTTTTTTTGAAAAACTTAATAAAAATGAGGAAGTGGGAGGGACCTGACCTTCCCAAAATAATTGTTTGTATAATTTACCCTTTTCATGATATTTTTTTTAAGCAAAACAAATTTACATAATTCAGTTAACTATTTTTTATACCATTTAATATTTCAATTGCATTAACAGGTCACATTTAATCAAATTTTTAAAAACTTGTTTTTGAGATCTTTAGCAGGAAACCAGAAAAACATGACAAATTTACAACTATTTTTAGCCTCTTAAGTTAAATTGTATTGCAGAATAAAACAAAAATATTAGTTTGTTAGGTAATCTTGTTAGATAGTTATTAGTATCTTTTTACAGATTAGCATTAGTAGAGGTTATTAAACTTACATTACTATTTTCTATAAACAAATATTTCTATTTTTTCATAATTATATACCCTAGCAATGCAGTTTAAAATTTTAATACAAATATTGTGATTGATAGAGAAGTTGTGAATTTGGTTCCATTTTTCTGACTAATATATCTCCAAGAAATTAAGTTTTCATGGAATACTTTGTGTATATTTGCATATCTAGATAAAAAACCCCCAAAAAACTAGCATTGATTTTAAAGTCTTGCTATTTTCTATTTTAAAGATTTTGGATATGTAAGCAAAATGTTTGAATTGTTCAATACAACTATGTAAAACTGAGGAGTGTTTATCTTCAAGTAAATATAAAAGTAAAGACATTCATGCTGTATTAAATATTTCTTTATCCCCTGCTGGTTTGTGTATTCACCTTAGGACTAAACCAAGCACAAAATTACAGCTGCATGTTTAAAGTGGATGTGGATTTATCAATATAAAAAAGATTTGTTTTTATAACCCATTACACAGTTCATTCCAGTTGAACTGATTATATAAATAAAAGCCTTTTTCTAAATGTTTGGGTTCATTTCTGTTCATATTTTATATAGAGACCCATTAAAGCATTTTATCAGAAGAGAATGCATACTTAATTGCTTGTCTATTTTACTTTTCATTACAAGTTGAAAGTATCTGATTTATATTATTTTCATTAGCTACATGTAGCCATGTTTTTGCAGTAAACTTTTTTGTTCATTAAAAGTTGGAGACCTGAAAACTGAAAATTTTCCATTTTTTAGTGTTAGGTTAAAATGCTTGGTTAGAAAAGGTTAAAGCTGTTCCACCAACAAAAATATTTGGCAATTTTGATAATTTTTGCTGCTCCACATTGTTTTTATAGCACAGTTGGTTGGGGTGGGGAACCCCCCCAATTTCCATTTTCTCTTTGTTTCAATGTTTTTTTTTTGTACAGCATTTGTTAATATCAGTGAAAATTTCAAATGTAAAAATCTTCAATTAACACAAAGCATTAATTGTACCAATGTTTTTAAAAAACATCTTTTAAAAGTAGTTTAGACAATATTGCTCAACATATTGGTTTTAAAACATTCAATAAGATGATTATTTGAACTGATCACCAAGTAAATATGATTCCAACTGTTAATAGCTAATATTTCTCCAGTTGCAGCTTATGTATATATTGGTTAAAAAAAAAAAAAATCAGCATTTGACAATGAAACTAACAAAATAGACATACAATCTTAAACATTTTTAACTTTAGACATTTTAAATCATTACAAGTGACAGCAATTAGAATTATAAATCTATTAAAATGCACAATGAATTAATGGATCAAGAAAGTTAGCACTAGTGCCAGATTGTAGAATTCTTTTTTTTTTATATAATTAATCAAACGCAGCATTTAGAAAATGTTCAAATTCAGAGATTGTTTTCCTGTTCTTTAAGTTGTTAAATCATTTTAACATTCTTTGGTAACAATAAAATGAAAAAAATAAACATTGAAAATCTTTTCCTTAAGAAACAAAAACCACAAAATGCCAAATATGGAAAAAAATAACAGAGCTGAATGTATGTTTGAAAATTTTATTGGTCTTTTGTTTTGCTACATACAAGTTGATAAGAGATCAAGTCTGTCTGTGTAATTTATGGGTCAGCCAGGGGTTGATAATTCAGTTTTCAAGTCGGCTTTTGTGTATGTGTGTGTGTGTGTGCCAGGGCCAAACATTATAAACTTGTTCACCACCACCAAAACTACCACCACCACCACTACTACTGCCACCACTACCATTGCAAGTGTTATAGTTGATAACATCAGCTGGAATTGTTAAGTGCATTTAGGACACCCAAATTTTCATTTAGTAACCATAAGTTGTATTTTACTTGTATGGATAAAGTTGTGAACGGGCATGAAAAGCATGAAATCATCCTATATGTGTGGACAGCATTGACTGAGATTGCTGAGGCTAACAAAATAATGTTTGAATTAAACTTTTAAAGTAAATTAATAACATACATTACTAACTGATGTTAAATTTCTTTTGAAAAGAACTTACAGTATATTGATATTGGATTATAGAAATAGATAATTTCACAAAGAAGAATTGTTCAACCCAAAAAGTCTTAGAGGAAAAAAAAAAAGTGCATGTGTGAATTGGTTGCTTTCAAGAGAATATTGCAATTAGCAAAATAAAGGTGCCAAATACGTAGATGTCCTAAACAATTGGATTTCTTTCATCAAAATGCTCCTTTGATTCAGAACAAAATTTAGCAGAGAACACATTTCTGTAACTATTAATGCCCTGCATATTCCAGTTAAAGTTTTAGACAAGGTCTTGAAAAAAACAAAACAAAAAAAAAATCAATGTATATGATTGTCATAAAAAAAATATATGAAGACTAAAAATAAAAAGATAAAAATATCCTCTGGCTACCAAATGTATACTTATTTTGGGGTATAAATAAATTTTCAACTTTAAAACAGTAGATAGGAGAAAGTTTTGGCCAAAGTACCAAGGTCAACAAAAGTCAAAGCAATAACAGTTTTTGTCCAAGTACCAAACTAAACAGCAGCAACAAACTAAATTGAACAAAATAACATTCAACAGAGATTTATGCAACTTCTAAATAATTCCATTATCATTTTAAGAAAAAGCATTAATTCTTAACAGCAAAGTGTACTTTGAGCTGAGTACACCATATATTTATGAGAAGAACACAAGAGAAAGGCTCTCAATTTGAAAATATCAAGTTTGTTCCACCAAGTCTCAAATAGCTATAGCTTTGGTTGTTAGTTTCTTTAGCCAAAAAATCCACAAGTGAAGAAAGGAAAATCTAAATTTCATCTTCCAATAGACAAAGGAAAGGGTGTAGAAATCAAAAGCCAAAACAGCTTTAGACATGGAAGAAAAACTGGAACAGGAAAGCACCAAACTAAAATTTCAAAATAAACATTTATGACCCACAAGCCACACACATTTTTTATTTATATATATATATATATATATATATATATCCAGACAGGCTCTTCTATATTTTTAAAATTTGACAGGGATTCAGTCAGAGTCAAAAATACATGATTGTAAAATTAAATCTTAATGAATGAACAAGGCATTAACAATATTAGATAAATAGAGAATTATTTCCTTTTTCTTTTTTTAAACTCAATATTTTCCCCTTGCAAACATCTGTCAAGACAAGTTCAGGAACCATAGAAGGCATGGCCAGAAATGTAAGAATAAACATGGATCAATTCTGATTGGACAATTATCTAGCTTACCAAAAATAGGTTGAATATATAAAACCATTCAGTAGCTAATTAGATCATAAGAATATTTTACATAAACAAAGATTGTCTACAGTGAGCATAAAGTGTTTGATTCATCTGAGATTTACTCAAAACCACCAGACAAGTTATTTAAGAAAATAAAATAAAACCTTATATAGTTTTGTAGTACTTTTTAACATTGAAATACTTTCTTGGCTCACACTCTTATATTTGAGATTTTCTGAGAGAATCATGCAATACATGCAGTTAAATTTTTGTTTTTAGTATAGCCATGATCCTTTGGATCCCATATAAAGATGTCTTCAAGTGGGACTTATGCAAAGTTTTGTAAATTTCCTACAACAATTAACTGCCTTTGCCATATCAACTGTAGACATGACTAATAACAGTTATTGAAATATGCTGGATCCAGTGGTTTTGAAAGACTGGTATTAGCTATTCATTCTTATTTAAAGTATAATCTTTGCTTGAATCTGTCAGCTGATGTTGGAACATATATATATATATATATATATATATATATATCAAGAAGGGTAAAAGCATCTATTATGAATATTTCTAATATTACTCATTTCAAAATGTACTTCCAATGTTAAACATAAAAATAGAATATAGTCTTTATTTGGCTTTTAGGAAATTTGTTTTTGATAACAAGTAAATTATACACATACAGACAATACCTTTATAAAACAATGGTGTCTGCTGTAGAGCAGATTACTTTTGTAGTCTCATGTCAGTGAGTTTGACCCTCACAGGGTATTCCATTATGATCTTGTGCCAAACTAAGCTACCTCTGAAAGCAACAATACCATATTAAACCAACAATTTCTTTATTTGATAACATTTAGACAAGGATCAGGTAGACAGAAATAGTTGGAGGGGAAATTTTTTAATTAATGTGACCAACTTTAAGATCCGGGAAATTGTCTGCAGATAAATCTCTAGTTTTACTGAATTCATCTTTATTTTGATTTTGTAAATGAAAATATTTTAAACTGAATTCTCAAGCCTTTTCATGACATCTCATTGTGCAGATACCTAAAATCTTTTGTTTTTTTGACAACATCCACAGAAATAACTTGCTTTAAAATATCCTCCCAAGTAACATTAAAAAATACATTTTTTTTAAAAGGAAGGGAAATTGATAAAAAAAATGCTCTAACTGAATATTTTTTGCTATAAAA